TGTTACTATCTGTATGTCTGCTACTGTCTACTTGAACCCCAGTTGGCCTCGGCAGATTGCTGCTAATAGGTTTCTTCGTGCTCAAAGGGAGTTTTCCTAACCACTGTTGCTACAAGTATTCTTGGTGTGAGGGATTGTGTTCGAGTCAATGAGTCGATGCAATCAATTGGTTTTCCTTAGATAGAAAACTGAATAATTTGACTGCATGATGTGGTTGAAATTTAATTTGCCTTGAGGTGACATGGATTGTAAATTGTCGCTATATAAATACGTTGAATTGAATTAAGGGTTTTCAAGCACAGCTCACCTTTCCTGGACACGCTGGAGGTGTCTGCCGAGAGGGATGTCTATGATTCTGTGCTGAGACTGAAACTCCTGTGACCTGGTTCCAGATGAAGAAGGAGACGATGAGTAAGAATTATCATTAAATAACCTCTATTGAGAATGCAACTGGAACACCATAGTCTGATTAAAAATGTCTTAGCAAAACTGAAGCAGAAAGGCTTTGAACATCCTTTAGAATCTGTTGGGTTTCTTTGGATAATTACTAAAACACATGGATCAACAGAACCAGTTTAAAGTAGAAACATTCAGACAGACACATCATTCAGTCCACTGGAACCTTTACTTGTATTAGGTTTTAAAAAAAATTATTGTTCTTTTATTATTTATGTTTGTATCAAATACATGAATATGTTTAGAAAACTGTGAAACTAGAATAATTGCAATAATAATCACCTCTCAATTATTAATGAATATCACTGCTAACTGAAAAAAGTTAAATGTAATGCAGTATTTTCTACTGTTAGAAACCTGTGAGAATAAATACATAATAATTCAGGTGACCTTTGCTGTAGAGTCCAAATGAGAGGCAGAGAAAGGATCTGCTGTTTGGATTAATCCAGGGTGTAAGGTCTCCTGGTTTTTATAGTAAGAATCAGGAGTTCTGTAACACTTTAAAGCAGGGTCAACGACCTAATTTTTAATCCTGAGAAATACTTCATGTGTACTGAGTTATAG